ATTAGGTTCTAAACCTACAAGAAAATTATTCAAAAGAATTTTGTCATATTCGCTTTTCAAAACTCCATATCTATCATTCAAGATAATTTCATTTGATAACAATTCATCTCTAATTTCGTTGAATGAATCAACGTAACGACTCATAGATCCCTTTTGTCTAGTATATTGAGACGCTAATAATAATTCGCTAATGTTGCGTTTTTTTTTAAAGTGTTGACTTAGTTCATCTAAGAAATGTGTTAAATTGTCGAAAGATCGACTATTAGCAAAAGCCGCCGCTTTTCCCTCTAGCTGGGCTATAGCGTGTGGTAATAATATTTGCGCTTGAACTGGACTGGCAAGTTTTTGCGCAGTTTTACAGTTCGAAATAAAACAATTTAAATTTTTAGTGTTTTCACTAAATTTTGGTATTATATTTAATAATTGACCCGTTGCAATTAGGGGTTCAACTTTAATTTCAATTTTATCGTCTTTTCCCGTTGCCATTTTTCCCGATCTTAATTCAATTTTAATAAGAATATAAGGATCGCGAACAAAACACAAAATATATAAAAATGGGAAGACAAGGAAGGTTATACCCAATCAGTTAACGGAATGAAATATGTGAGGACTTACATTAGCAGGACCACAGCTTTCATTTTTTCCGCTCCCTTGGTTGTATGCAGCAACTTTACGGGTACGCTGATGGGGCTGGCTTCTTCTCGCGATGAGCCTGAAGTCACTTCCTAGCTATCCTACCGACTGCGCCACTGTTACAATTTAGACGACGGGAAGACTTTTTTAAAAAGGTATTTATTATAATAAACCTAGCTACATCTTTCGTAGTTGGTGGTTGAGTAAGAACTAACTAATAATTTTACAGCGTCCTATTTATATTCAGTACAATCAGGCATATGGTGACGTCGTGGGAGCACAAAGGCATATGGTGACGTCGCGGGAGCACAAAGGGTGTCTGTTGTAAATATTAGTAAAAGAGTAATTAAGATAGTTTACCTCGAAATGGGTTTTAGAACAGATGGCCCTTTTTAAAATATGTAATCATAATATTATTGTTTCCCATAGGAAAACAGATGCCTGTTTGTTAACAAATTGATAAGTGAACTTAGTATGTCAAAAGGTTACTAAATGATAATACAAACAATGGGAATATTGATAGTTAATAGTTATGAAACTATCCTAGCTTCAAATATCAAGGGTTTAACACAACCTGCCACCAATAAAATTAAGCTTGGGTCGAGTACTGCGGACTATCCCAGGCAAGGATAGCATCTCAAGAGTGGCGGATATACGAACTGCTGCGGGTGTTGTTCGACGAGCCTACGCAAAGATCTGTCCTCTTGTATGCGAGGAAGAGGAGTCCCCGAGTCGCTAAGGACATTGAAAGCAACTGCTTCCAAGGCCGGGGGCATGTTCATGAACGAACGAAACGCAACTTACAAAAAAAAAGACGTAACTTTTTGAAACAATTTATACTTTCACTTTTTAAACAGTTTTTCAACGACACACATCTTTTTTTTTATCGCTCCCAAAATTTACGCAAAAAATATCCAATAGCTAAAGCCACGAATAATCAAAACCAAGTACCGGTGGTCGCTATCCGGCACACAGTGATATTGTCAATCATTGAGATTGCCTTAGCGTGAATCTCTGCTACAGTCGATTCTTCAGCCTGATTTAGGACATCAACTGCGCAGCCCTCATCTATCTCCATATCCGAGTCATCTGAGTCACCTCTTAACTCAGTAGCAGCTCGTTTCCTCAATTTGTCTTTAGCCGCTGATGTGCCACAATGATGTTCTTTTGCGACACGCTTTGGCTTTGGATCCTGCGAAGAAGGGGTTATCCCCTCTGGCATTGCCGTCGGTAGCTCAATAGATGGATGTCGATCCAAATCGATTGGTGACAACTCTAATGAGTTGGGCTACATTCTCGGGAGGAGTGGGAGATGTAACTACACTCTATTGCCATCCTCTTGCGGTCCGATCCAGTGACAGTTTTAGAACTATCATCACTGTCTTTGCCCGAGTCCGAGCCTGAGTGCCCCCTCTTCGATAATTAAGTCGTTTTAAGAGATGCATCGGAGACGATAGAAGAGTTCGAGCCTCCGATGTTAGATTTCCTCAACCTACTGCCGTCAAAATCGGGTTTCGAAGCACCCCTCTTTTCTTTGCTAGCTGAGCTCAAAGGTGTGGATGAGCCAGCTCTACTTCCGTCCGATTGTGTCTGAGTGGGCGTCTCGAGATCTGTCTCGGATTGCGCTCTGGTGAACGAGCGCGTTATCCTCATTGGTGGTGGTGATGGTGATCGTGAGGAAAGCAGAGCAGGGGAAAGATCCCTTGACTCTGGGTCACCATCTGATGCGATTGTTGACGAGGACAGACTACGCTTTTTGTCCTGTAACAATTCCGCTGTCTTAACCGGGTATGGTTGGTCTCTGGCAGGGCCTTTGGAGGTCCTGCTAGCAGCAAGTTTGCCTCGTTTATATTATTACCTCTGCGTTGCGATTCCCTCAGAGAAGGATTTAGTGCAAGTGGAGAGGGTATAAGGAATTCTGGAGAATTCGTCCGCTCCTGGCTCTGAGAAGAGCCCAAATCACTCCGTGCTTCGCCGCCCGCGCAGGGCCCATGTCCTCCGTTCGGAGACTTCACCACAGCATTTCCACGCTCACTTCCGGTCGAGCTAGACCCCTCCAATACAACAGAACAAGGTTTTATGATATTATTAAGAGATTCCATTTTTGTTCCTACGAGTATGGCCAGATGATATAGTCCACCCGAACAGAGCTGCCTCCGGGTAAGGCTAGGGTTATGAAGGTGGGGGCCGCCCGTTCCCCACCTCCAGAGGACGCGTAGCGACCGGCAATACCCGCCGGCCACGAACCCCTCGACCGCGTCTATCTTGGGCTGGCTGATTTTTTATCGAGGTTTTCTCTTGAGATCACCCAATTAAGGGCAGCCCCCGCCCCGGGTCCGCGCTCGCGGAGTGACGGGGTCGGCCGATGGTTGTCGTCGAAACAACACTCGTCGTTCACGCCCACCAGGAGTCGACGAGCCCACCGCCCTCGCTGGCACGGCCGCTTCCCACGATACGCAGGGCGCCCGTCCAGCCCGAACCGCGCCGCCGCTACCCGACTTACCGTCGGGGCGCCGGCCCGGAGCCCACACTCGCGAGTATTCTCGCGTGGACGGAGTAAACTCCGTCGCCCTCACGTCGTCTGACATTAGCCGCGGCGGCTCAAAGATACTTCGAGCGGCCACGTTGCCCAGGGTGCACCACGAGGAGGTTGCCAGACTTTGCACCCCTAATAATCATTCCCTCACTTATCATCATTCCCTCACTACAAATAAATATGAGGGAATGACGAAATCAAATATAACCGCCAAAAACGCTCGTTTCAATCGTATTGAATTTTATGGTCAAGTTATAAGACGCCAAAACTAACGTCAACGTTAAATCATTAACTAGTTAAAGTTGCTTACCTTATTTTTATAAGATGTGATGTAATGACGGCCGAAAATGTAACTTATTCAATTTTAAACAACATTTTGTTCTAACAGAAACTATTTGCACGCACAAGATGAATTCGCCATATTGAAATGTTGGCGGTACTGCCAACTGTCAAAAACAAATGGGTGCATTCATGTAATACAAATAACACGTTCAAAAATGGAATGCGAACAAAAGTGTGAGGGAATGATTTTATTTTTTCGGATACTATAAAAATAAAATGCGTAAATTTAAATAACGTTGATTCTTTTTTTAAATGTGTAGATTTTTTGAGAACCATTTTATTTTAAAAGATCTGTAAAACTATGACCATGAAATTTATCGAAATGTGTAAATTTAGCGACCATAGAGTATTTTAATCTGGAGTTTGGGACATAGTGAGGGAATGATTTTCGGATGTTTCCATAAGCAAAAGAAATCTTAGATACCTAGTTTGCTAGAAAGTTGTGTAGGTATTTTGTATCCACCATAGCATACATAATAACAAAATAATAATCATTGCTTGAAATTCATAACTACTTAGAAAAATCAATAAGGATATGAATTTCGGAATTTCGGTAGAATTACCCAATTATAAGCATTTTTTTTCAATGCATCTTCAAGCTTTGGCTGACGCCGACAAAAGATTTTTGGTTATAGAGATTGGAGGACGCGGAAGACAGAGTGATGGAGGCACGTTTTATTACTCAAATCTCATCAAAGCATTGGAAAATGATCGACTGAATATGCCCGTACCAAGAACTTTGCCAGGATCAGACTTGGCCTTACCTATGGTCATAATAGGCGATGAGGCATATTCTCTAAAATGCTATTTAATGCGACCATATCCGCAAAGTACTTTAAATCCTGCTAACGAAATATTCAATAAACGGTTATCAAGAGCGAGAAAATGCGTCGAGTGTGCATTTGGTATACTTTGTACCAAGTGGAGGATTTTAAACAAAGCAATAGAAACAAATTGCACACATGCTCGCTTAATTATTAAAACTACGTGTTTACTGCATAATATAATAATAGACAAAGACGGTTCTAACGATTATCACTATTCAAACATAACCTCAAACATCGATAATGTGACTCAGCGACGACATCGCAGAAATAACCACGCAGGAAATCTAGCATTAAACATAAGGGAAAAATTTAAGGAGTACTTCGTAAATAATAATTTGTAAAAAGATAAATATGTTGAAATAAACTTACTTTCCATATTATTCCCAAAATGACGTTTTATTTCTTCCCAACACTTATTTACAATCTTTTTGTTTTTATGATGAACATTTTTACTGTCCCAAAGAGCAGGTTTTGACAAAATACACGAGATAAATTCTTCATTATCAATTTGAATCAATAGTAACAATAGTAACATCTAATAGGTATCTATTGCGCTGTGCATTAAGAGGCAATGACAGCTGGGCCTATTTTTAGATGTAAGAAATATTATTTGTCTCGCTAACGAACGGCAGCGAGCGAGTTAACGAGCTATAAGGTTAAAAATGAAAAATCGTGGTTTCGGTCTCGTCGTTTTCCTCCTCCAACCTATAGAACGAAACGGTCCGACACAGATATTGATGATATCAATCTGTGTTGAAAAAGAGATCAATAATTATACAGGGTGTAACAAAACGAGTGGTGATCTAATTTAAGGGCACATTCAGTATCATGTTCTGATTAAGAAAAAACAGAAAAAAAATATGCGCGCTAAAATTTTTCCCCATTGTATGGAGGGTTGATTCAAACGGAGCCATCCAAAATCATACAAAACAAAAAAAAATCGCGCAAAAAATTTTCTTCCACTTTTTCTTCATTAGAATACGATATCGAATGTGATCTTAAACGGATCACCACTAGTACATTCTGTATGTGTACTTACCCGAGTTTATAACCTAGTTACTGCCTGTAAATGATTTAAAATTATTGTACTACTCATACTTTTTTTTATTGCAGACAATGACTCCTCCGATCTTGATGAATTTCAAATGAATTTTGCCGCCCAAATGCACAATATTGTCAACGATGATAATAGTACGACAGACTCGAGTAAGTCGATGGAAGATTCATTCGTTAGCTTTGGTAGTTTTTAATTTCAATTTATATAACTTTTTATTCCAGATGATGAAACCGCTTTATTCGGCAGTGACTATTCGGATGAAGATCCGACTTATGAGCCAGATCCTAAGGAATGTTCACCAAAGCAAATGGATTCCAATTCTGATTTTATTCCCGAAAGTCCGGATGTTTCATTCAAACCGGAAGCTTTATTTATGGTGCTGATTGATGAAGTTTTAGATCGAGTTTGGATTTCTTTAGAAGGTGGACCATTCAGCAGGAGCCTATGTTCTAGATTCAGATTCAGAAAAGGATGAACCTCAGCAGAATGATTCCGGCCATGATATTATTATTCCTGAAACTCCCAGTCCATATAAAGAGCAGGAACGTTTCGTGCCGACACTTAACGAATAGGAAGAGCTTCTTCTTCTGTTTCAGATTCAGAGGCCAATACATTAAAAGTATTGAAATCAACTAGCTCAAGCCATAATGACAGACAGTATGACCCCTGAAAGTTCAGATGTTGGTTCACGAGTTGAAGACTCTGTTTATTTAATTTTGGACAAAATTTTTGACGGAGTTTGGAGTCGTGTAAAACCCCTGAAGCGGCGTAAGCAAGCTAAGACATCTGAATGGAAAATAAATATCTCCAGAAAGCGAAAAATGGATGGGCTACCTTATGTGACGAAGGAAAGAAAAAAATTGAAATTGATAGCTATAACGTGAAAGAGTTTAAATTTAACGAGATGTTGGACTTGAAAAAGCTAAACACTGCTATAATTAATAATAAAAACAAAGATACCATGGATGAGGCCATGAACTGGCTGAAAATTAAAAGGATACGTTATATAAAAGGGGACTTAAAAATTTATTTTAATTACGACATGTCTGAGGATTTTCGTCAGTTGGATGTTACAATAAAAAAACCAAATACACCTAGAACAAGAGCTAAGAAACAGTCTAATCCACCATCAGTCGCAATGCCATGGCCAGAAGAGTTAGAGTCAAAAATACAGTAGTCAGTTACCTATAAGCATTGCTAAGAAAAAAGATTTAGAAACCATGTGCAGGAAACAAAATTATACCTGAGGAGTATCATGGATGGACAAGAAGCCTAAAAACATTCGTCGGTAAAGCACCAAATTATTCAGATGAAGAATAATTACTGTTCTCACTATTTTATTCAACATTTTTTTAAATTGTTTTATAATTAATAAAACCTCTTAGTGGCATTAATGGCTTTTTATTTCTGCGTAAACCCTATAAATCGAGGACCCCTTGACATAAAACATCGTTTTTACAATAAAAACTAAATGGGTTACGTAACAAAAACACAAATTAATTTAAAGTAGATAAAATTACCTTCCATGAAGAACTTTTAAAACTACGAATTATAACTATGAAAAATCAGTGTTAGATGATCATAAACCTTTTAACATCGTTTTTTCTCAAAACTAGGTTTCTCATACTTGAGGGGTGCCTAACCATAACGTTGTAGGTGCCAGAAAATGGATTTTTCAGGAGAGACAAAAAACACTTTTACAGGAAAAATAAAAAGCAGTGTTTATTAAAATTAAAGTAGGAAACTATCATTCTCTATCAACAATTTAACGCCAATTTTTTGAATTTGCAAAATACGAAATTTAAAAAAAAAATGTTTAAAAATAATAATAATAATAATTTTTATTTCGGACAACATTAGGGAATCCATATTTTTTGTTAGTTTTTTACACAAAATACACTTAAAATCTAGTGTTAGTATCGATTACAATTACTTAGAAACTAATTTTGTGACAGTAATACATCTGCGGACACAATGTACTACAATAGGAGAATCGTATCGTCCTCCTATGATTTGAAGAATAGAATTGCAGCTGTCACGCACTCTGAAGAGCAACGAAGCACTTTTCTTCCTCATGATAGAGTTGAAAATCATCTATCTGCATTTGTGCAAACATACCTGACGCACTGCAGAAACGAGACAGCCCCAACAGTACTCTAAAAGCATTGTTATATTGGATACGCAGTGTATTAAGAGCGCGCTGACTATAATTGGTCCATATGCTGCTCGTATAGAACACTTGACAATAAGCTCGAAAAAGTGTTAATTTGACTGGAATACTACAGTGGGAGAATCTACGAGCCAGCATGTTACAGCGCACTGCCAACGCCCTGCGCTCCCTCTCAATGTCAACCTCGTCTCTAAGGCTATCGGTCACGTAATGTCCAAGCATTTAAATCGGTATACACGTTGGAGTTCCGTACCATTCAGACAAATTTTAGGTACATAGGATGGACATTTACTACCGGCAGCCCCAAACACAAAGATATTCGCTTTTTTTTAACATTGTATATGAGGACCATGCGTAACCGCGTAGCGTTCACACATCAGTAAAAAGCTCTCTCAACGCCCTCACCGTCGGGCTCAGCAACACCATATCATCAGCGTAACTGATATTATTAACACTTAATTAGTGCCATTAATTCTGCAAGTCATAACGTTGTAAGCGTCTTATTACTTGCAATAACTTAACACTTTTAAATGTATTAATTTTAAAAGGTTTTTATAAAAATAATTATACCGCATCACTTTTAACGTCTTTATTTGAATAGTTTACATAAAAATAATTATAAATCAACACTTGAAATGTGAAAATGCAGGGGAAGCAAATTGTTTTTTTGAAAATCTTTATTTTAAAATATTTTCATAGAACAATCTACTCTCCCCGGCTAAATATGGCAACATGCCATTGATGTCTTTTTTTCTTCAGATACAGCAGTATCTATTTCGATTTTAGAAGAGTCGCACGTCGAGCATGTATCAACTCGCGGAGGCTTGAATGAAAGATTAAACTTCGTCAAAAATATTTCATTAAACCATTGCCTAGATACTGCCGGCTTACCATCTCGGTGCTTTTCTAGAAATCCTTTGTATAGTTTGACCACACACCAAGTTCTGTTGGGAGATATTTTCTGTCGAAGTCATTTCGACTATAATGGCTTTCTTGAGCTGGTATTGATTTTATGTACTCGATAATCTTTTCTTTCCATTGAGGATCGCGTTTTTGTCATTTCCCACCACGTTTATCTTTTACAGGTTCGTCGTTACTAACAATTTTTTCGGATAGTATCTGCACACGACGTTGAGTGATACCAAAAGTTTCGCAAAACGTCTTCTTACACACCTAAAATGTAAATAAAAAGAGCTTCTAACTGCTGAAAATATACTATGTTGAAGTCATCAATACAAAATAAAAAAGAACAGTAACGCTTACCTGAACTTCCGAAATGCCTCTAATTAAAAGATAGTATTTGAATGTATGTTGTCGACTGCTATTGGTTGCAATGTCATAAGTTCCATGTCTCCTTCTGTTTATTAAACAGAGCCGAATAAAACTTTTTAGGTAAATCTGCTGTTCGTCATAATTTCCAAGTTTCCAGAAATCATGAAATATTTTTTTACGGCATTCCAATGTCAAACATGTACAGGCAAACTGACATTTGCAAGAAACCTATAACGAAGTGAATAATATAATTATAAAAAAGTACAAACTAAGTCAATGTTGTTTAACAAAATAGGTTTTTTTTTTTCTCACACGTACCTCATTGGGCTCGATTTTTTCACCCATTTCTTGATTTTTTGTATTCACGTACTTCAAACCCTTGTTTCTTCTAGACTTTCTTATAGTTTTTTTCCAGTTATCTTAATGTAAATACGTTTTTTTTGACGTTGACGCACCTTCTCCCGCCGACATTTTGAACGAACTAATATTTGCAGCTCGTTTGGCACATAAAACGTTATGGCTTGCAGTTTTACAAAATTAATACTAGATGTCGTTAGTAGTCCTCGAACTTTCATGTGCAAGTAATCGCCGGCACATACAACGCCCTAATGCAATAAAATGTATTTCAGCCCGGTGGGCACTTACAACGTTATGGTTAGGCACCCCTCACTTATTGGGTTTCACCAGGCAACCCTCGATATTTTGTAAATTTTTAATGCTGGAGTGTGGAGTTATAATTGTGTAAATAATTATCTTGAAATAAATAAGTGTAAATATTAAATTAAAAATTATTCAATAATAATGTCGGGACAGAACGAGCTGTAGCATCACATCCAGAAAGACGATAGCTACGAAAAAGCTGTATATAATATATGTAAAGACAAAGTAGCTTATAAGTTACAGATTGGGTTTGCAATCCAGCAACCCACAAACTCAGACTGCGACAGTACTCAAGTCAGTGTCACCACTAACAACGACAGCAAGTCAGACTCAATATTGCTAGTTCGTGTGAAAGTCGCACTGATGGTGTTAAACGACAAAGGGTAGATATTTGATATCTATGTCGATCATAAAATAAGTGCAGCACAAAAGAAACAGACAAATTTAGATTGATTAAACTTGTGTTCAGATAACTTTTATCCTTCCTCAATTGTGGAAGAATGGGCAATTCAGAAAATTCTGCAAGGGTCTTATGTTAAATGAACGAAATACAAAATTAAAAGTCAACTTTCAGAGAAAGTGAAAAGTATATGTTTAACTTCAGACATGGACCTCTTTAAAAAACGGAAAGCTTTAAAGCCCTCAAGGGATATTATTTAACTGAAACCTTAGAATTCAAAACAGTTTCATTAGGTTGTTGCCAATTTTCGGGTCATCATAAGGCAGAAAATATTAGTGCAGAAATTGAATTGTTGGTAAACAAATATGGATTAAAAAAAAAGGTCAACTTCATGGTCACAGATAATGCTGCCAATATTGTAAAGACTTAAAGAAGTCTTAAAGTGGAAGCACTTTGGTTTTATGCTCACAGCCTTAATTAGTCGAAAATGCTCTTAATTTATTAAAGTCGCAAATTGAGAAAGTGAAACGCATTGATGGTCATGGAAAAAAGTATAATTTCTTCTGAAAGAATTCAAAAAATCCAGATACAACAGGGAAAAAAACCATAGCACCTAATTTAGACAGTTAACACACGATGGAACTCGATGTACTTATGCTAAAGAGGTTTGTAGAACTGGAAGAGGCCATACGATCTGCTTTAGAATTCATGGACAAGTGTTTACCAACCATCATTGCAGAAGATTGGACATTATTCACCCAAATGTGCCAAGTGCTACATCCGTATCAGGAAATAACTAGCACTATGAGTGGAGAGAAATATCTTACTGGTAGTTCAGTTATTATAGTGACATGTTATTTAAAAGAATCGTGTCAAAACTACTAGATAGAAATGACTTACTTTCAGGTGTAAGTGACACGGTCCGGTCCGGTCGAAAAATGTTTGGGTTTTCGGACCACACGAAAGCTACCAA